TATATTTATGTGCATTCGTCCCATGTTCATTTTTTCATTTATGTATGTGCATTAATACATTGTACATACATATTTAAATGCATCATTTCAGTGAATTTATAGATACATAGATATTTGTTTATAGTATAAAAGCAAATGGACTCTCTGTTTCTATGAGCTCATTGGAAACGTCGACAAAACCGCAAGCAAATTATTTAAAAATGAAGCCGATACTTTGGCAAAAGTCTCATGCAGGCAATGCTTCGAAAAATTTCGCAGCAGTAAATAAACAGCAATCGCTGCTAAATGTTTTTAATAACGAACAGCGTGCACGAAGCCCTAGCAGTCCGAGTAGATTTGGCAGCCGTATCCTTAAACCGGACAAAACATATGAGCACATCGCCTTGGCTAAAACCGGATCGGCGAGTGATGTCCTCCATGGACAGAAACGTATGTCCATTTGTGCTGTACATATCTTTTTGTTAGTGGTGTAGTTTATGTCTTTTTTCTAATATTTGCTTATCAGGCGCCATACCCGCCATTCGGTGCGATTGCAATGTTGACGAGTATGTAAAGATGACTAATTCAAATGCTTTTACACGCTCTTCACCAAACATAGCACCGAAAATGCCTTTACCAAGCTCGTATTCCATAAGCACTAATGCCACAATATATCAGCGACAGCGGTATGTGGATGAGTATGTAGAAATGACTGATTTAAATACTACTATTACATGCTCGACATCAAGCATTTCATCGCCGAAAAAACCAATACCAAGCCCGCGTTCCATAAGAACCAATGACTATGCCAATATCAATATCAATCACATTTTAACCACATCAAATTCAAATATTAATCGCACGCAATCGGCAGCAGTGTTATCACTATCAACGTCGCGGGAGTAAGTAAAAATAACACCACTTATCATTTTCTTACACATCCTTACTTTACGCTTTCCATATAAATATCTATTACTTCTTTCAGATTACAGACACAAAGCCCACCGACGCAGCCATTAATTGCAGAAGCTGCCAAGAAAGACGCAAACAACAATAACAATTATCTTAATGGTTNACTTATCATTTTCTTACACATCCTTACTTTACGCTTTCCATATAAATATCTATTACTTCTTTCAGATTACAGACACAGAGCCCACCGACGCAGCCATTAATTGCAGAAGCTGCCAAGAAAGACGCAAACAACAATAACAATTATCTTAATGGTGGCAAAAACGTAAGTGATAAGAAGCATTCGCCTACACCCGACTTCCCGCCGCCATCGGTTTCTCAAGCGGAGCACACAATACTCGAATTTATGCGTCCCCGAAGTGTGCAGAGCAAACGACAATCCGTAGGCCTGAAGCAAAATCCGCATTCTGACTTGGAATCTTTCATTGTAGACGCAATAAATCTGTTTGAGCTTCCCGATTCTCCAACAAACTCTCGAGTGTCAGATTGCGTGGAGGAGTTCGTGGGTGATGCTCCTTTTGCCGGCAAGCTGAAAGTTTTTTTTTATAGAGTTAAATTTATTAATGTATTCTCCTGCAGGTCTCTTTAAAGGCTCTTCATTAAATTTAACAATGGATGGNATTCTGACTTGGAATCTTTCATTGTAGACGCAATAAATCTGTTTGAGCTTACCGATTCTCCAACAAACTCTCGAGTGTCAGATTGCGTGGAGGAGTTCGTGGGTGATGCTCCTTTTGCCGGCAAGCTGAAAGTTATTTTTATAGAGTTAAATTTATTAATGTATTCTCCTGCAGGTCTCTTTAAAGGCTCTTCGTTAAATTTAACAATGGATGGCAAGGAAGACGGCTTTTCCAATAATCATATATCTAGTGGGCTACGTTCACCAAGTTTGGTGCGCTCAATAAAACCGCTTCCACCTAAGCGAAATATTTCACAGCAGAAAAATAATTCTATCAGCATTGAAGATTTTAATGATGCGAAGGTTTGGGCTGAAATCGACACGATTCTAGAGAGTATCGGCAATGAAGTTAATAAGGTGGATAAGAATTTAAAAGAGGAGCTTGGAACCGAACAAAAAACTACTTTTAACGTCACGAAAGACACGTTGCAAATACGCAGGCCAGCAGACTTGTGNAAAAATAATTCTATCAGCATTGAAGATTTTAATGATGCGAAGGTTTGGGCCGAAATCGACACGATTCTAGAGAGTATCGGCAATGAAGTTAATAAGGTGGATAAGACTTTAAAAGAGGAGCTTGGAACCGAACAAACAACTACTTTTAACGTCACGAAAGACACGTTGCAAATACGCAGGCCAGCAGACTTGTGCTTGGGAAATAACGATGACTGCAATAGCACCTGGTGCCACTCGCCGAACACCCTTATCTTTGGACAAATACTTTACACCGTCTATGTATGAAGGACACCCAACGTTTTTTTTTTGGAAAATTTGTCTTAATGTAAATTTACATACATATTTATATTTTTTTTAATTTCAGTATCTGGGGTCAACAGTCATTAGAGAATTGCGTGGTACTGCTTCCACACGAAAATCGATACTGAAATTTAAACGCAACGCTACACCACTGCCAGTGGTTAAAGAACGAGAATCCAACCTGCTGAAGGATTGTAATAGTCTAACCAAAATGCTAAAAGAGTCTAATCAGGATACACGCCTTAGAGTTGGGCTTGCGGTTTCCTCTGCTGGAGTGAAGTTTCTGAATGCAGAAAATAGTGTAAGTGCGAATCTTTGGGTATAATCTATCACCTCTTAACATTTTGCTACAGCGAAATTTTTCTATTTGATCATAAATTGTGTTAACTTAAATATTTAAAAAATATACTTTAATGACAAGTTTGAAGCGCATATACTGTAGAAAACTGAAGCTTGTAAAACCTAGGATTTTAAAAAATTATATGTTTATGTTTATTTTTTATTATTTCACCATGATGTTTATGCATATTAATATGAACAGTTGCATGTTTTAATTTATTTTCTAATTTTCAAGTCTACCATTTGCATACACGACATTGAAAATATCAATTGTGTATGTCAGGATGCTGAGGACTTGCGCTATTTTGCGTATATAACGAAGGAGGAGGACATTCACTACTGCCACGTTTTTATGGTGGATAATTTGGTAATATGGGAGTTTAAAATTTTGCTAAATGTTTAATTTATTTATTCTTGGTTTCCAGGAGCTTTCGCAAGAAATTATTTTAACGTTGGGTGAGGCATTTGAGGTTGCATATCAGTTGGCGCTAAGCAAAGACGATGCTACTCATTCGAAATTTTGGGAAAGTGTGGCCGAGATATAGCTTAACTATTCGAATGTTAATATAGCTTCAAAAGTTATTTGCCTAAATCCGTTTTAAATTTTTTGCTATTCTCTTGGCCATTATGACCTAATATTATTTGTATTATAAAAGGTATTTAAAACCTAGAATGTTTTGTTTACTTTTTTCTACTATTCGTATGTCACGTTGAAGATTCTGTTAATTTTGAATATTTTAATAAAAAAATTGTTATTTATAAAAAATGCTTGTATAGGCGGTTACGGTCATACGATATGATAAATGTTAATTAGAAACGTATGTTGGATGCGGCTTCTGAAAAGGCAGCATTTTAAGAATTGATGTGTGATGTATACGCCCAAATATTCAGCGATTTTAGCTTGTGGACGACGATTTGCAGAACGCCAACTTTATTGCCTCCTTAAGTTGTTTGGCGCTGCAGTTTTAATTTAAAATCAATTGCCAAATATGCAACTGCGCACTATCGCTGCGAATTCTAGGTTTGATTTTACATTTTCGGGCAAATGAGCAGAAATACGAAATGCCAACGTTCCTACGACATGCCTAACATGTGGCAACGCAAAATAAAATCACTAACACCTCTGACTTAAGGATGTCAGAGTGGCAAAAATACATCGATGTTTTTCTTTGATTCGAGGCAAGGCGAATCTATACAAGGTGCTGTTATCGAATCCACTGATTTCAAGGCGAATGTGTATCTTTTGTCAAAATGATGTGTTTGTTGTAATTCTGCTTTCACCCGATTTACATGTTTCAAGTACTTGAAAGCAATTCTTGCTCATTCTCTTTTGCGTTTTCTATTTGCTTTTACACGTTTCAATTCTGCTGAATTCAAGTTTTTGGTTCTTTAAATGGAAAGCAACGAAAATGGCAAAAGCAAAGCAAGAAAGTTGAAACGACTTGACGGTACAGACGCATGTGTACTCGTCCCTTTTCTTCTCACCCCCTCTCTTCCACATGCGAGCAGAATTGAATTCAATACTTGAACTGTGTGAAAGCAGTCTTTGTACTGAATCAGAGTGTCCAGATTTGCCAAATTCGCGCCAATTTGGCGATTTTTTTCCATTCAAATAAATTTTTTCCAGTTATAAAAATATACAAAACATAGTTTTCCACCAAACCAAAAACAATAAACTTTGAGGCGAATTGAGATTTGACATTTTGCCCCTGATACAAAATACATGAACCAAGGCGAATTTATACAAGGTGGTGTTGTAAAATCAGTTGATCTCTTCGCCTTACATGTATTTTGTTTGTACTTTTACTGATTTGACAGCACAACCATCAAAAGCAAAAACAAAATTCTTGTAAACTTTGGAGCGAATTGGGATTTGACATAACATCCTCCATACAAAATACATGTGGTTGTCGTTGTTGTAATCTAAATTCGCCAGTAACACCACCTTGTATAAATTCGCCTTGACATGAACCATGCCTTCTTCTTAGTAGCCCGTTATAATCGCATTTAGGAAAAAAGTTGGGCGACCTTGACATTCGCCGTTTGTTTACATTTGTTCGTTGTTTACAATTTGGTGGTGGCTTTTTACGGCAATTTTCTTAATTTTCGCTTGTGACAACGTGTGCACACATAAGGTAAAGAATAATTTAATACAACGACATGATTTATAGAAGAATTTGCATAATAAAAATGATTATTCATGCCTTCAACAATTACGCGTTTTTTTTTCTCTTCTTTGTTTACTTCTTACAACAAAGATGGCGTCGAGATTTCAACAGCTAGAAAATAACTTTTTTCTTTCTTTGGGAAGGCGTGATCTTGTGTCTTTCGTTCATGTACAAAATACATGAGGTTGTTGTTTGTTGTATTCTTGCTACCATCTTGTATAAATTAGCCTTGCGGGTACGGGATCGATTTCCAGTAAAATCTAACTGAGTCCGGACTCGTACGGGATCGCAACTGTTATTAGCAAAATTATAATAAATTACTGAAACTGAGCTAATTATGTTTTTAACGGTTTTTTTTTTGCAGCCATTTAAATTTTTTGGACAAAGTCACTTCTCTTTTTT